CTGTTGGCAACCCGGCGCGGCGCATTGGTGAGGGAAAGATATGAAAACAGCCCAGGCTTGGGATCCGGCCACGGGCGAGGTGGTGCTGCAGCTGAAGGCGGCCATTGACCAGAAATGCTTTCCTGGCACACGGCGACACTGCCCACACCTCAGGGCGCCTGCCGCGGCTGCCCGCAGAGTGCAGTGACCCTGCAAGCACGATCCCAAGTGGATTCATGGCCTTGCTTTGTCAGCCTGGCACTGTGCCAGGAAAGCATCCTAAAGACCTTGAAGCACTTTGTACCCGAAGTGCGAAGCGTCCGCTCCGAGGAGGTGCGGTGTTGATAGGAAGCACTGGCACGCAATGTTGACTCGGGAAGAGGACACGGAGCCCGCGGACTCTTCAGATCCCTTCGCCGTCACTCGGACTTGATCATTAGCAAGGAAGGGTCATTTCCGAGTTCAACCTCAGCCCACACCCTATACCCCCCCCTAGGCTTTTACATTAAATAATTATTTTTAATTAAATTTTCTATAGTAGTTTATATATAATTATGGAAACATTCGCACCGGAAGATATTTTAGTTGATAATTTCTCATTTAAATTAAACAAAGGAGCAAGTTATATAACAGACCGTCGCAGTGTGTCATTTTTTCCTACAGCTTCTAATGTATATAAATCATCATCGGGGGCAAGGGTATTAACATTTAGTCTAAATGGTGAGGATAATAGTTGGTTAGACCCTCAAAGCGTAAGAATATTTTTTACATTGAATAAAAAAGATGGCACTAATTTTGGAAAAATTCGCCCTTTATCATCCCCATATTCCTTCTTTAGGCGAATGAGAATTATTGCCGGTAGTCAAGTTGTTGAAGATTTTGACAGTTATAACCGTGTCCATCATATGTTTTCTAAACTAATGTCATCAGGAGCAAGAAGAGACGAAGCAAATGAAGGCTTCGGATATAGATACGATGATGAATTACTGACAGTAGTAAATAATGCTGGAAGCACAGCTTTCACTTATGAAGTAAATGCTAATAATTGTCAAGGTTCTTATAATGAAATGACTGTGGGATTTAAGCCATTATGTGGTTTATTTTCTCAATTCAAGTATTCACCTTTAAAATATATGGGAAATTTAACAATTGAAATAGAACTCGTGACGAATGCTACTGATAGTATCATTAACCCTAATGACTATGATGAAAGTGATACAGGTATTAATGAAGACCTCCGAACTCGTTTTACAGTAGCAGTAGCAGGTGATGTAGGTAAAGCTACTAATACATCTATTGACTGGGAAATCTCTAACCCTTGTGTAGTGTGTGATGTCTGCACCCTTGATAATAATTTAAATAATGAATATGTTAAACATCTTTTAGAAGGAAAAGGATTACCAATTACTTATACAACTTATATCACACAGTCACAATCAATTAAAGGTTTAACCGACATCAGTGTCAATGTTATTCGTTCTGTTTCTAAACTTGTTGCTTCATTTGTCACCTTTTACAAAGCAGGAGACGCGAGCACTGGCTATGAATATGCAGACAAAGAGTGTTGTAGATTTTATCATCCTCATCAAAACCACGAACCGTTAGATGAAGGTATTTATGACAAAAACAAATACTTAGAGTTCCAAATTCAGTTAGGTTCTAAATTGTTTCCTGAATATCCTTGTAATTCTATCACACAATGTTTTTACCATTTACGAAAAGCATTAAATCTTCCATTGTTTCATCAACATAGTATGAATATTAATTTCAAACAATATCGCGATAGACAGTTCGTCTTCGCTTTTGATTTTCAAAAACTGAGCGACAGCAGTTATTCAGGTATATCAACACGCGCTGGGCAAATGATGCGATTAATCGTGAAACCGGCAGGTGCAACAATACCCGCTAATGAAATGCCTGATAATGTCTATATCACGATGCCTTCAGAACAAATATTAGAGATTAAGGATTTAGGTTTAAAAGTTTATGACTAAATTTAATTAAGCATTGTGAAACTAATTATCTAAATTAATTTAATAATGACATTAACATTAAATAATACAAACACCGTATCAGCTAATAATATTGTTATTAATGGAACAACCTTAAGCGGTTCATACGCTACAATTAATTATGTAGATAATGAAATAGCTAATATAAATGTCGGTTCTGGTGGAGGTGGTGGAATAACACAACAGGACTTAGATGATGCAGTAAATCCTATTATAGCCGTTAATGACGGTCAAAATTTAGTGATTACCGATATTAATAATAATCTTGCTAATACTTTTCAAACAACAGCACAACTAAAGGTTAGTTTTTATAATAAGACAGAAGTTGATAGTGCCATTGCCGTTGTTGATACAAAAGCATTAGATAATTTTAATTCCATAAATGCTATGAATACAAATTTAACAAATAATTATCAAACTAATACACAACTGGCAACTAACTATTATAATAAAATTGAAATAGACGCTAATAACTGGGTTGGTAATACAGCATTAGCACCATACGCTACAACAGCAACACTAACAGCAAATTATCAGACTAATACACAACTGGCTACTAATTTTTATAATAAGACTGAAACAGACGCTAATAACTGGATTGATGATACAGCATTAGCACCTTATGCTACAAACAGCAAATTATCAGACTAATAGTCAAATAGCCACGAACTATTACAATAAAGGAGAGGTGGATTGATTAATAGCGGGTGTATCAGGTGGTGG